CCCTTCCTGCCCCATCACCCCCGTGTTGGGGGTCGCGGGGATGCTGGAGGAGGGTGGGACAGGTCGAGCAGCCCCCCCGAGCCCCCCCCGCTAAGGTTTGTGTGGCCGAGCGTGCTGTGGGATGGGGGGACAGGCACGGAGAGGGACAAGGACAGGGGACACTCCCAAGGCTGTTCAGCTGCTCGGTGTCGGAGACATCCAGGCTGGAGACCCCCCCTCCAACCCCACACATCCCCCTGTCCCCTCCCGCCGCCTCAACGTCCCCAGAGCCGCTCTGGGGACGCGCACGGTGTGACCGTCCCCTCTCCTCCGCCGCCGCCGTGAATGGCTCCTTGTTTGTCACCCCCCTCCCATGTTGGTCACCCCCCCTCCCTGCTGGCCGCCCCCCTCCCCGCGGTGTCCCGCTCCTCCCTGCGCCCCCCTCTTCCCGCTGCCTTTTCTTTTCCCGCACAATCGCGGGCATTTATGGCGCCGGAGGCTCCGGTTACCCTGTGCCCGCTCGCTGTCACCGCGCGGGCCGGGGGACGCTGACACCGGACCCCCCGCTCGGGGGGCAGCGGCGCGACCCCCGCCCTGCCCCCTCCCCAAATCCCACCCGAGTTCCCGGGTGGCTGACGGGCACTGCCCTTCCCTCGGGTGGCTTTTTTGGGGTCCCCCCTTCCCTCCTCCCCCTCCGGCGCTTGGGGACTAAATTTGGTGGCTTTCGGGGGTGAAAAACGGCTCGTTTCCTGCTTCTTGGGGACACCGTGGGGACAAAGTTGGATGTCCCCTGTGGCTGTGACATCCTGGGGGAAGGGTTGGGTGTCCCAGGGGCTGTGACACCCTGGAGATGGGGTCAGTTGTCCCCAGGGGCTGTGACACCGTGGGGACAGGGTTGGTGTCCCTGAGATTGTGGGGACAGGGTTGGTGTCCCTGCAGCTGTGACACTTGTGGGGACAGGGTTGGATGTCCCTGAGATTGTGGCGACAGGGTTGGTGTCCCTGTAGCTGTGACACTTGTGGGGATGGGATCAGTTGTCCCCAGGGGCTGTGAGAATGTGGAGTTGGGATCAGTTATCCCCAGGGGCTGTGACAAGGTGGGGATGGGATCAGTTGTCCCCAAGGGCTGTGACAATGTGGGGATGGGATCAGTTGTCCCCAGGGATTGTGACAATGTGGGGATGGGATCAGTTGTCCCCACAGGCTGTGACACTCTGGGGATGGGGTCAGTTGTCCCCAAGGGCTGTGACAATGTGGAGTTGGGATCAGTTGTCCCCAGGGGCTGTGACAAGGTGGGGATGGGATCAGTTGTCCCCAAGGGCTGTGACATTGGGGCCAGGTCCCCCTGGGGGCACATCCTCCCCAAGGGCTGTGACATTGGGGCCAGGTCCCCCTGGGGGCACATCCTCCCCAAGGGCTGTGACATTGGGGCCAGGTCCCCCTGGGGGCACATCCTCCCCAAGGGCTGTGACATTGGGGCCAGGTCCCCCTGGGGGCACATC